TATAATGTACAGGTTATGATTTGCAGTTTAAAAATGTTGAGACTTAATGTATTCTGCAGGTAGTGACACTGTCCTGGGAGGGTCATCTTTGTATGAAGTATTTAGTCCTACAGAAGATGCAATGAAGGTTTTCTAGTTATGTTTCTTTCCCAGAAATGCAATTTAAGAGCTCAAAGGCATGCTAACATAAAATATGAATTACTAAATACTTTTCTGTAATTGTTGTGCCAGTTTACACACCCTCCTGTAGTGTTTGAGAATTCCAGTTATTCAGGATTCTTAACACTTAACATTGTCAATATTTTCAGTTTTAACCATCATAGGTGGGTATGTAGTAGTTACCATAGCCATTCTAAATGAAGTTCTAGATGGCTCATGCTTCCCAGATTTGTAGAACATCAGTGAAAGAGCCAGGCTGTTCTAGATCACTAAGTTCTGATATTGAAAACTCATTCCTCTTGCTGTTTATTATATGTCTGTTCGTCATAGTAAGCAGTCCCATTTTAATTCTGTCTTAGAGGCTTACTCTAGAAACTTCTCCACTCCTTCACCAACAGAGAATAAAGTAGAGTAGAAATTTTATGTTTGAGTTTATAAGCCCCAAGTTCTAAGTGCTATTTCAGGGTCTTAGAGATACAGCAACACATACTTTGCAAACCTCAGAAACAGAAAATTCTCTTACCCTTTCTCTGTACAAGGCCCTGTGTAGATCCCCTTCCATCTACCTGCCTCAACCACGGTGGACAAGGATTAGTTTACTCAAGTCCGGAGCAGAAGAAAATAGTGTTTGGCTCATGACTGGTGGACTCAGCCCTTCTCTATGGGGACAGGGCGGGGTTGCAAAGAAATGGAAAGGGTGTGCCTGGGAAGGTGAGAAGCCAGCAGAGTGAAAAACCAACAGGGGCCCGCAGCTGTGGGTGTTTACTTATCTTGCTAACCTCAGGAAACCAGCCTTGCTGAAATCCTTAATACCATTCGCATGCTACTTCATGTGAGATCCACGTAAAACATCAGACAAAAGATCGGGCTTCTTTCCAATCTCATTCAGGGTGAATTCCAGGGTGATTTCAGCTAATCCATGCAGTCTTCCCAGCTCTACTTTCTCTCTTTGTTATGTGTAACCAGACTTCCATGAGAAAATGATGAAGATGGAAGTTGCCCGAATAAGGCATCGAAGTTAGCCTCCCTGCATATATAAGAACACAACTATTTCGCATTTGTGAATCTGCTTTCTTTAAATAAAATTGGAATTGATCAGTACCAATTTTGATGATTAGCATGTTTATTATTATTTTTTAGATGTCTGCAAGGGTAAACACTATAGGAAGACATAGTACCCCGATTTCTTCCCTTCAATACTTTGTTTAAACCTGTATAGAACATTAGTCACAGTTGAATTAAATATGATGTAAAAATGATCACTGTATTAAGTATTCTTAATTATTATTCTCTTGAGAGACTCATCCAAGGTTAGTAAACTGTAATCATGAAACTTTGTTTTTTATGCAATTCTTTCATATCCTCTGGCTATTTCTTTTGCATTCTTCCATTTCTACTTGACTCAGGTCTGAGAATAGAATAAATTAAGGTCCAGAACTTTTAAAGTAAGTAGGTTAAAAGGGACCCACAAGAGGCTAACATCCCAACATCCTATATAATAAAAGCCTAATATGCTAAGTGTCCAGTCAGCTGTTCAACCAATCAAAGTGTAATATGCTAATGATATGCTAAGGCTGCTCAACCGCTCACTATGATGTGCACTGACCACCAGGGGGCAGAAACTCAATGCAGGAGCTTCCCCCTGGTGGTCAGTGCACTCCCACAGGGGGAGCGCTGCTCAGCCAGAAGCCCTGAGCTGGGCGAGTGCAACGGTGGTGGGAGCCTCTCCCGCCTTTGCGGCAGTCGGACATCCCCTGAGGGCTCCCTGACTGTGAGGGGTCGCACTGAGGGACTCCCCCCAAGTGCACGAATTTCATGCACCAGGCCTCTCGTTAATCAATAAATAGGATCGTATTATATGTGGTAGTATTTCTACAGCATTACACAGAATGCTCCCTTGTATAACAGTCTAAAGCAGTGATTTCCAAGAATTTTTAAAGCATGCAATACATGACTGTTTAGTCAGGCACACTGATGTCTTTTCCCTTAGATTATCAAATAAAAAAATGACAACAGCCATCACAACAATAGCTGGTGTGAATGAATCAAAATTATACCTTTTATTTTATTTTTTTTGTCAGATTGGCTAAAAATATATTTTTTGGTGTGCCACAGGATTTTAGTCATTTGTTTATGTGTGCCATAAGATGAAAAATGTTTAAATCTCTGGCCTAAAGATAGTTGCCTGATGTTCAATGTAAATCAAAATGAAAATAAATCCCCCACTTCCTTTTAGTTGTGAACAGTTCAAGACAATCACAAAAGATACAATTACAAAAATCAATGGATTAGTCACAACCTGAAATATTTTTTCAGGTTCTTTATATTGAATTTTATCTATGCTCATTAAATTGCCATGGACCCTTGTTTTCAAAATTAGCCAAAGTACAACCCTTTGCTGTCATTCCCTCAAAGAAACCAGAAAGTTCTGTCTTTATTAATTTGACTGCTTCCCTGTGTAACTTCTCTTTGGAAAGTTCGAAGTAATCAAGATAACCAGTCTTCCCTCTCAGAGAGACAGTCAGGTCAGCAGAAAATATTTCTCCTGGCAACTCCTTCTTCCCTTTGGCAGGCCTGTGGGTGTGGTTAAAAAAGCAAACTCCAAACAAAAAATTTTTTCACCTTTTCTTCTGCCTATAACCCTCCCCTTAGTAGAGCAGGAAAGAAGTGGCACTAGAATTCAGATTGCAAAAAAATATTTCATTGCAGCACACTAAGTAGCAGGGATCCGAACTTTTAAAATATGTAGTTTAAAAGGGATCCACAAGAGGCTAACATCCCAACATTAATTGATAAATAGTATCATTAGGGCATTTAGAAGAAAGAATGATGCCCCCTTAGCCCCCATGAAAGTATCTTTACAGCTTTATTTGATTGTAAAAGTAATACATGCTATGTGTAATGAATATAAACAATACATGTAAAGTAGAATGTGAAGGTTCCTCATACTTGGTTCTCTCTGTTAAGGGGTGTGTGTGTATGTGTGTGTGTGTAGTGTCAACATAAACAGGATGGTACTTGGCATAACGTCACTGAATGTTTTGTAGGCTCTTTGCTATGTCCCGGTCTGCAGATCCTTCTTTCTTAATGACTCTATTGTGTGGATGAGTCAGGATTGATTTACATAGACCCCTCTGAATGGACATTCCGTCATTTCCCATCTTCTGATGTTCTAAACCTGTATGGTTCAATATGCTAGCCACCAGCCATGTGTGGCAATTTAACTTAATTAGAATTAAATGATGTTTAAAAATATGTTCCTCAGTCACTCTCATCACATTTCACATCTTCAGTAGCTATGTGTGACTAGCACAGAAATAGGACTTTTCCATCATTGTGTAGTTATATAGGACAGTGCTGTTCTAAATGACTGTTTTTCAGACTTCTTTTGAGCACGTTTCCATTCCTTTATTCATCCATTCTTTAGTCATTCTATGTTCTAGGCACTGTGCTAGGTATTTGGATATCTCATTCATAAAACAAAAACAGCTGTCCTCATAATGCTTCCATTCTAGCAGCGAAAAGATTGACTACTCTCTTCCAATAAATAGAAATGTACTTATAACTTGCACATGTATCCTATTGTGCTGTCACGTTATAAGACATGTGAAATTAGGACTGAAAAAGAAGGTAAAAATGTGCATAATTTCTGAAGTAGTCTTCCTGTGTCCCGCCTTGGAGGCCACCATTCTGCATGATGCTCCTGTGATAGATGTCGTCTCTAACGGTGCTCCCAGTGCTCACACCGAACTGTTATCACTTTTTAAATAGGTAGTTCTTCTATTTTGATATCCCTTCTAAATTTATTTCATAAAAGACCTGTTTTTGTTTGCTATCTTTAGTTTTTTTTCTTACCCTGTGTGGATGTGTTCTTTTACTTACATATTCATTTAGCAAGCATTCATTAAGTTCATACTGTGTGTATGCCAGGTAGGTGCCAAGAAATTGAAAAAGTCAGAGTTCCTCTGCCTTTAAATAAGACAGGCCAGCAAATCAGTTCTTCTCAGACACGGGATAATGGAGATGCAGCAAAGGGACATGTAAAGAGAGAAAGATCTTTTGGCAGAATGGAGGGCAGCTTTCATGAGCATGACCTCCTCTTTGCTTAGCTATTGTACTCTGTTTTGGGACTTAATGGACGCACAGATTTCTCCAACACCTACTGTTTTTCTCAATGGTAGTTTCTTTTTTGGGGGAAAATAAAATTCTACACCATGGGCTTAAGACTATTAAACCATTGTCTATTGTCATGTTAAATATCTTTTTATTTTAAATGTTCACCTTTCCAGTATTAAACTTAGATCTTAGTGTTGGAAGGGCTCTGTATAGGACAGAAGGTAAGTACAGATAATTATGTAGCTCCTGTTTTTTGAAAGGAGAAAGCAAAATCACCTCAGAGGTGTGTGCTTATTCATGCTTTCATTTAACAAATGTCTAAAAAAAAATGCCTCCTATGCAGACAAAGCACTTAATTCCAAAATGATTTTTTCCCATGGACTTTGAATTAGGGAATTCTGAAGAATATAATGAATAGTCTAGAAATGAAAGAATTGATCATGTTGTTTTTCCGCCTCTCTTTTAGGGCAAGTTAAAGTGTTCAGAGCTCTTTATACGTTTGAACCCAGAACTGTAAGTATTCAGTTTTTAACTTTAAAATTGGCATAAAAACCTAAGGTGGTTGCATTTAGATACTTTGTCTGGCCTAAATGGGCTGCCTGTTGTTGGTTAGCCATAAATCATTCACAAGAATGGATGTTTGGTCACTCCCCTTGCAGCCCAGAGGTGTGAAAGCCAAGCCCCTCTGTTGATCTGCTTGTCCTTCTGTCTCAAGGTCATATAGTCCATCTTGAGCTGCTTCTCTCCATGAGGTGAAACCACTCGCTTTAAAATCACCAAGTGACCTGCACGGCAAGCATGCGACCCTGTCTTAGTCATCCTTCCGTTGACTCTCTTGTTAACTGATTTTCCCTTTGACCTGCTACCTCAGACTACCTATAATGGCACCTTCTGCGAACTGCCCACAGCAAATTTTTTGTCTCTGATGTATGTATTTTTCATTGTTATAGCTTCTGGCAAACATCCATAAATCCATCTCTCCACCCATGGGTTAGTGAGCACCTATTATGTGCCAGAAACTGGTGCAGACCTTGGGGCTAGTGTAGTGACAACAGAAAGGACTGTCTCAGGGAGCTCACATCCCAGTGGGGAGAGACAGACAGTAAGCAGACAAATGAATATAACTGTCAGGGCCTGGTAAGTGCTATGAAGGAAAATAAGGAGGGGAAGGGGCAAACAGTTAAGGGAGGAAGAGTGTTACTTTCAATAGGGTGTTTAAGGATGGCCTTTCTATAGAGGTGACATTAATTTTTTTTTTAATTTATTGATTTGAGAGAGAAAGAGAAACATTGATTTGTTTTTCCACTTATTTACACAATCATTGGTTGATTCTTGTATGTATCCTGACAGGGGATTGAACCCATAACCTTGAGTATTGGGGTGATGCTCTAAACAACTGAGCTACCTGGCCAGGGCCTAGGGTGACATTTGAGTAGAAACCTGAAGGAAGTGAAGGAGCAGAAGGAATAGCTGGTGCAAAAAAGAATGCTTGGTGGGTTCTAGAAACAGCTGGGAGGACAATGGGGCTAGGAAAGTTGTGAACAAGGGAGAGGGAGGTATGACAAGTTCAGGGATACTGGGTCCTGTAGGGCTTTGTGGGTTGTGTTTGGATTTTGCCCTGAGTAGGTGGGAAGCAATTGAAGGATTTGAGATCAAGGGTGATTAGATAGCTACGTTTTAGAAGAATCATGCTGAGAAGTGGACAACCATCTAGGAGAGTAAGAATGGAAGCAGGGAGTCCAGACAGTTAGGATGCGGAGGAGAAAGAAACGAAGAAGGAAACCTATTCTCATTGACCTCTCTCTCTGAGGTTGCATGGCCCCTGGGGTAGATAGGAGTGGGGGGAGGGAGGCAGTCATCCTAACTCTATAAAGCAACCTGCATTTACTCATTTGAGACCTGAGGTGACATCACTGTTTCTCCTCTCTCCCTCTAGTATCTGCTCATCATCCCCTTTGTCCTTTCTCACTGACATTTAACAAATATGTTTGGTTGGTTGATATATTAGTTACTTTAATTCACCTTTGGTTCTATTCCAGATGGAGTGTCTCCACTACTCTTTATCTTTGTTATTATTGAATGCACAGGAGAGAATAGGCATTGCTTATTAGGTTTTTTAATATTCTGTAGTTCAAATGTTATTGTATTCTTTAATATCCCTGGTCCCAAGGATTCTAGGCTGCAGAGCAATGTTGCTAATTCATCCTTATGTACTGGGTGTTCAGTAATGACTACCCCACACTCTGCTGCCCCCACACTCGGCCCCTTTCCACCTGCCCTCAGTCCAAATGTTAAAGGTAGCCTCTAGCTCCCATGGACCTTCATGACTGGTTAAGTGCCTGTTCAATATTTTGAGTATCACCCAAGAACTAGCTTAGCTTTACATTCTTTTTCTGAATGAGAATTCCTGTTGGACAATGCTGGAAGCTTAGTTTGGTCTTTCTCTCCCATGACCAATACCCATCTTCTTTGGTGCGTACATTCTAAATTGACCTGGTCTCCTTAGAGCAGCAGTTCTCAACCTGTGGGTCACGATCCCTTTGGGGGTCGAACGACCCTTTCACAGGGGTCGCCTAAGACCATCGGAAAACACATATATAATTACATATTGTTTTTGTGATTAATCACTATGCTTTAATTATGTTCAATTTGTAACAATGAAATTGGGGGTCACCACAACACGAGGAACTGTATTAAAGGGTCGCGGCATTAGGAAGGTTGAGAACCACTGCCTCAGAGTCATGGGGTCGAACGACCCTTTCACAGGGGTCGCCTAAGACCATCGGAAAACACATATATAATTACATATTGTTTTTGTGATTAATCACTATGCTTTAATTATGTTCAATTTGTAACAATGAAATTGGGGGTCACCACAACACGAGGAACTGTATTAAAGGGTCGCGGCATCAGGAAGGTTGAAAACCACTGCCTCAGAGTCACTGGGACCAGGCAAGATGGAAGAACTGATCTGGACTCTATGCAACCATTGCTGACCTGTGCAGCACCCCAGAGAGCTCTGGGCCCTGTTTTTAGCTACTGTTCAACCCTGAGGAGATAGGTACAGCAATGCCCAACTCCATTCTTGGTGATCCACTGAACAGGTAGAACACTGGACAGCATGTGGCTCCCGGTTCTTCCTACTAACCCATTTTCCCCCTATCTTGCTCGAAAGCAAGGTAGTTCTGGCACCACCCAGTCCTGTTTGGTTCCTATTTCTTACCAAACCTCCAGTGCAATAACGTGTCATACAGAGAACTGGCTGGACTTGACAGACCAGTGTAAAACCATGCTGATAGAGAAAGAACAGCATTTCCTGTGTGCTGGGGTATAATATGGAGTTCCAAAGAGAAACCGGCAGTACCCTGCACTATCACATAATGTTTGCTGGGCTTTGCTAGGTTTATAGCATTAATTGAACAAGAAAGAGCCCTGGAATGGGATTCCAAAAGCTGAAGTAGGAGCCCAGCCTTGCCACTCACACTGTGTGACTTGTGGCAAGTTCTTCAACCTCTCTAAGCTTGGTTGTGAAATGGAGATAATGCTCATGACCAGCCTTGCTCTAAGAGGTTGTTGTGAGAATAAAATTAGGTTAAGTATGCTTTGCAAGTACAAGGTGCTGCTGTTGGTTTTGTCGTAATGCATTATGTGGAGGTGGGGGTGAAGGGAAACATAGTTTTCATTTCCACTG